TCCCGTCGTAGTCTGAAAGGTAGATCACCGCTCGTTAATTCACTGCCAGCGTAATTCGACGCAGCAACAAGGGAACACGCCTTTCACGAGGTACAGAATTTGTATTGTGTCATATTTCTTTGTGTGTTCATTTAAACAAAAGTTATTCGGTATGAAGAGAAGAGGAATAAGCTGAGATTTTAGTGAGAGATAGAAAGTGGTACAATTTGAGTAAGGATAAGTTACAAAGAAAGTACTAATGTACGCTGGTCACAAGGATCACTATAAGTCCCAGTACTATGTTATTAACTGATGGTTCTCGAGTAGCTCCTATTTGAGACCAGAACGAAAGCGCAAAAAGATTTCCAGGTATAACCATGCAGGGAACCTCTTCTTCGGCCCAGATCACCTATAAGTCCCAGTACTATGTTGTTAACTGATGGCTGTCGAGTAGCTCCTCCTTGAGACCAGAACAAAAGCGCAAAAAGATTTCCAGGTATAACTGTGCAGGGAACCTCTTCTTCGGCCCAGATCATTACCATAAGTTGCATTATTTTCAGGTGGTTTAGCAAGCGCGTGTTGCGTTTTCTGGGCGCTCCGGGGGCTAAGCACCAAAAATGAACTAATCGTTTGCGGGCTTGTTTGTGGGACAAGCCTGACGATGACTGCCGCATGGGGTTAAGGGTTCACCAGCACGACATTCGACGTGGTATATAGCGATTGGTTGCACACTGGCGCTAACCGGCCCGTCACAAGGCACACAGGATTAAAACTCTTTGTCCATAGACCGCCATCTGGATCACGGTGCAATATCCTCGACTACCGACGGCAGGTCGCTTGTTGCAGACGCCGAGCCTCGGTGAAGCCAAATTTGCGTCTGGACAATCAATCGTTTAATAAAGGTAATAATTTTTCTGAATTCCAGCCTCTGAATTTATCCGTCACTCGGCTCAGTTGTTTACGGGGCCGTCACAAGTTGACAGAAGTGGCTTGGAAAAGGGTGTAAGGAGTATACCGTGTTCACTCATTTTGTAATCTGATGGCCGGCGTTAGTGGACGGGTAAGTAGTCTAAAAAACATCTTTGAAAAATATTCCTTCCTGCGTCGAACTAAGTAGTCTCTAAATACGGGACACAAACGGAAGCTGGGGAGCTAAATTGCTTATTCGAAGGGGCGTACGCATATATCGGCACAAGTGTCAACTGTCTTGGAGCACCTGGGTGTCTGCCCATGAACCGTAAGTTAGTTGACGAAGCTTGATATCATTTTGTTCGTCTCAACACCGTGATAATGTGTCCTGTGAGGTCGCGGTTTCCTAAAAACCAGGAAGTACGCTTACCTAGACGCTTGGTGCACAACATCCCAAACGTGGTGGTCACCCTGAGGGATTTCGCGTCTGGTGTAGTGGTACGCCGTATGCGTCTCATATTCCTCCCTGAGCAACTAAGAGTGCCGGGACAACTTCCGTATAGAATGTCCTGGTGTCCCTGATTAGTGCACCCGGTTTTTAAGGAAAGTGATTGCCTTCTCCAGACGGTTGTTGATCACATCACCAAAACGTGTCAGCCAGGGATATGCGTTCGTTGGCCATTAGCAGATAATGTACAACCAGTGGGTTGTAAAGCAAGAATCAGCTGTACGGCATTGATAAGGCGAGCCACATGTTGGAATATGTGCCGGTCGTTCGCGGGGTGTGTCCGTGGTCAATGATACATCAGCATTATATGATACACACGTGTTTCTTGGTAGCTTTTTGAATATGGAAGTAACACGATAGGAAATAGCAGCTGGACACCACCCTCACTGTCTGCATATGTCGCCTGTTTGCCCGTCACAAAGGTCTCCATGGGAGACTGTTTGCCCAACTTTTCCCCGAACAAGCAGAAAATCCTACTATGGGTCAGTGTTCGCTCTACACAAGAGCATACATAACCGGACTTCTGGACTTCTGTCCGTGCACCGGCGAAGCAGATATAAGTTGTTTTAAAAGGACTTAATGAAAACTTTTGTTGCATGTGTTCCATCGACACATACCATATCCTAAAGAGGTAAAAAATTTGCCATCTGCTAACATCTGGATAGACATATGTGGCTATAGTGACCTTAGCCTGACTACAGCAGGGACGAGGGTATATCATCCGCTAGAGTGAAACCCAACTGCCCGTCACTTACTCAACAGGGACGGCCGACTCTTACGGCGGTAGTTCTATATGTCCTAAGTGGTAATGACCCTGCCGAATTTATTGGCTGCAGACTGCTTCAATACACAGAACTATGTTCCATGCTTCATCAGGACTACCCAACTGCTCAACTCCACTGTCATCTCAGTGGCAGCCGATGGCATAAATCTTGGAAACCTTGTGCTTGTGTTCAAAACAATGAGAGGCAACCGCCTATTTGTATACAAACGAACTGGATAGCTGGCGCTCAGCCTAGTGTTTGTTAATGGCAGGTACGCTGAGCATAACTACTTTTTCGGACTCCTCGACATTTAATCGGTTTGAATGACCGCCTGTTACATTTGTACTACACACAACCGCAACGGAAAACGGCGCTGGAGCTTCGATCACTGGCTACACGCAAAAATGCCACAGGTGCCTGTCATGAATTACTTTAACGCCTTAAATGACGTGGGGGATGAACTGTGGACAGTCCCCAATTTCTCAACAGACAAAACTGAAGTACACGCATTTTCATACCAGTTTGGTTCTGACGGGAGACTCGCCCAGAATTCAGCAACTGAATGTGCTTCGCCAGGCCACCTCAAAACGTGTACCTCCCAAACTGATCTTGCGCAATGTATATGCTCGTATTTATGGACGGCTTAACCAAAGCCAAGGATGGGGGGCTCACATCGGATGCCATAGTTTTCGACGTCTCAAAAGTATTTGATTGAGTTCCAAACGCTACGCTGCCCCACATACTCGAGTAGTACGGAATTTATTGGAAAATTTTACTCTGCATTAAGGTGCTCCTTCAGACAGAACATTCCGAGTGAAACTGGGTTCTACTTACTCTTTTCATGCGCCGGTCTACGTTGAAATTCCTCAGGGCCCTTTTTTGGCACCAATCCTGTTTTTGATCTACGTCAATGATCTTCCAGACTTTTTCACGTCAACGTCTAGCTTTTTCGGGTGACTTGAAATCCTGGGGTTCCAATACCAACGCCCTCCAAATGGATGTAGACGCCGCAAAGCGGTGGTCGTTGGATTGGCACTTTCCTCGGAATTACAAAAATATACCCATATGTTATTCCGAGGGGACACGGTGAACGCCTTTGTCGTGCATGACTGGGCATCACGAGGATGGATGACAAAAAGGATAGGGATATCTGGTTATCTTCAAACCTGTCCTTCACACTGCGCCATGAGAAGTCGCCTGAAAAAGTATTCACCGTTTCACAGATGATTCGGTGCACCTTTCCGCTTTTTACTCGCACGGACATCTAACTACTCTACCGGGCCGATGCCAAACTTCTTGAATATGCCAATCAAGTTGTCCTCTCCTGATGGTTGCGGGCCTTAAGTCCATGAACTGTGAAACGCGTCTCATGGTGCTTTGCCTCTTACGCCTGGGGCATCTTCGACCCCAAAGTGGTCTAATTCACAATTATGTCGTGTTTGAACAAGGTTTGGCCAACAGGTTTTTCATCATTGATCCAGTCAACACACGGCGGTGACATGGTAGGAAAATTTGCAAGCTCAGAGGCACACCTTGGTTAGGCAATTCTTTCTCTCATTTAAGGTGGTTTGATGGGCGGAATCACCTTCCTCCGACAGTCGTCCACGCTCCCTCTAGTACGCAGTTCAAAGCACTACTGGGCACTTTTTTATGCGAATCCTCGCGCTGGCAAGCTTGCCACTCTGCGTTGGTATCTTAAGGAGCATGGCTACACCCCTCTATCTCTTGTGCCTTTCAAGTGAAAGGCAGCCGGTGAACGACAAGAACATGATAAATCCGGGAAACTTTGGCGAATTTCCCGATCCTGTTGATCAGACCGTGAATCCGTGGGCTGACACCCTTGCCTGGAGCATGGGCTCCAATAGGAACTGAAATCATTACTTCTTGGTGCCACCACAGTTCCAATAGGAACTGAAATCTTACGATATTGGCAGTCAAGCGGCGCGAAATATGAAAAATGACGGTACGTTGTCACGGGGCTCCTCAGTTCTGGGTTAGTCAGAGGGATGGAAATACTTATGTATGCGTTCAGCGGATCTGGTCTGCATGTGATGTTAGCGAAATTTGATGAATGAGGTGAATGTCTGCAGATCCCATTCCGCTTAGTGTTGGACTCAGGTCGTTCCCACCGTGGAAACCCACAAAGATCTGGTATAATTCCTCGCCTGGGGATGCCAAAGTATAAATTTTCATTGCCAGACATGAGTTAACCACGCACCAGTCAGACTCATGCATCCGAGCTGGTGACTCCGATGCTCACTTTCCCTCCCAATCTCCCCGATGAATAGTGTTGCCGTTACAGGAAAACAAAATACCGTTCAGCACATCTGTCGGTGGTGTCGTCTGTGTAGGTGAAACTATCTTTCCTTGGAGAACCTGGTCTATTCCCCCTAGTTAATGGCTTGTTAAACCCTGCGCTGCATGGCTTCATAGTAGGGACATTCTGACACTATACTGCATAATGTGTACAATGGACAAGGCGATCTTGATTCCCAGAAAGCACTCGATCCGGTTAGTCGTCGCCTTCTGTTACACAACCTGGGATAGACTAGTGTGTTGACCCTTACACTACAGCACAGGAAGACTTATCGAGGTGTACAAAATGGTCTGTCTAGAATAACGGTTTGAATCGTCAGCACACTAAAGGAATTTTAAAGATACCAGAGGACGCTTCAAGGAAGTATAAAAGGTCATCAGCAACCAAGCTATCATGTATGACAAACCTATGGGACAGGTCACTTAAAGTTACTTATTTTTAAATTGGTAACTAAATGGATATCTTGAGACTTGTTTTCTTGCTCTGCTTTGAGTTTTGTAAGTATGTAAGGGCCGCAGAGAGAAAACGAACATATGTACTTATGTAACCCCAAATGTCTTCACTCATGATTCGTTTGAAAGCTACTGTTTGTTGGTACTTTACTCTTTGTAGCTGACCTACCGATAGTTCGCAGTTAACTCTCTCCTATATTGTATTTTATTTCTGTCATCGCTGCAGAGTGTTTGGTAGCGTTGGCCATGCGTTTCCGCCAAAAAACTGATGGCACAACACGTGCTTGTCTACCGTACTAGTCAGCTATAACACCCTTTCGGTGCACGAGGGCAAGGATACCGCCAGCTCGCCTAGACAGGAGAAGTCGAGTGGTAGAGGGCGGGTTAGAACCACGGACCTTCTGGTCAGTAAATTCGCTCCCTAACCACTGAGCTATCTGGCCCCCGATCCAACATCTGCCGAATGTGGGTTGCCAATGCCGCATAATGAATGCGTCGGGATTTACAGAATCTTGTCGTCGCATACACTACATCTACACTGTATAGGGGGAGGTACTGGAAGTTGTAGAGCACTTTACGTATCCTGGAAGTTGTATTAGTTCTGATTGTAGTGCGGCAGATGAGCCGAATGCACGAATCTGCAAGGCTCGGGCCGCGTTTGCTAACTTGAGACACCTATGGCGGCAGAATGGTTTGTCCCTGAATCTGAAGGGACGTATGTATCAAGCTACAATACGGACTGTTTTGTTGTATGGCTGTGAGACTTGGCGTACCCGGGCAGCGAAACTGAGACGTCTTCAGGTGTTCGACAATCGTCTCAGAACATAGTTAGTGTGGGTTGGCGTCGGCGAATCCCTAACGAGGCAGTTAGAAAGCTCGTTTCCGGTTGTGAAACGGGTACTTCTGTCGAAGAATGTGTCCAGCACCAGAAGCTGCGTTGGTTGGGACATGTGTTCGGCAAACCATCGTTTGCCGAAGAGAGTGCTGTTTTCCATGCCCAATTCAGAGTGGCGTAGACTGAGAGGTGGCCAACCCTTGACTTGGCAGAGGAGTATGAAACAAGGTCTGGCTGCCAACCAATGTTAGTGGCGTTCTTGTCGGTTTCTATGCAGATTGCCTGAGTGAATGTCTGGAGATGTAAGCACCTCGGAATGATTGTGGCAAGCTAGCACTAACCCCCATTCACCTTAATTTTGTTTACAACAAGGCTTTCAAATAAATCATGGTTGTACGGCATTGAGGCATCAGTGTTGAACACATGTTATGCTATCGATGATGATGTACTGTACATAGGCGCGCTGTAGTAGTGTTTGACTGGGTTTTGGGCGTCAATACACATGCCCCTTTGGTGTTTGTTTTGATGGGAATGCTATGTTGGAAGGTTCAGACGGAGAACTAAGTTAAGAAAATGCGTCATAACACTCGTGTTGGCTGGTGCCGGTGAATACCCAATGAAGCTACTAGAAGGTGGGTGTTCGGATGTGTAAATTTCCCAGACCCTGCAGCAAAGTGTGCTGGGTTTAAAATAGCGGCGTGTGTGGGATGAATGTAACAGTAGTTCACAGCTCTCAGGACTGCATACGATCCCACTTAAGCGCATCAGGAAAAGTGGATTCAGGGTACAAATCGACCCTCAAGGATCGTCGGGGCGGAAAGCCTTGGAAAGCACAGTCGGTTGCCCCCCTCGTAGTCAGAAAAATCTTGTGATTTTCCAGTAGGAGTGCAGCACGTTTGTCTTCGACCTGTCGTGAACGAAAATCCCAGGTTCGAAGAACGTTGAAGCGAACTATCGTAGACTAGTCAGTTAGCCGGATCCAGTTTACTCACCTGTCATAACCGAATGAGACTATTTGTTAAGCAACTTTTTCCATTTATTAAGAATCCTTTCGTTTAGCCTTATCCATTTCGGAGGTATTCCTGTTTACCCATATTTCACTGATCATAAAATGGCTAATGCTCTTTGAGCAATAGAAGGTTCGGATGAAGCACTGTCATTTAGAGTTCATCAAACAGGGCGCGAATTTCTTTACAATTTACCGTTGTATTGAGGGACAGTTTGAAATACTTCACCATAGGCGAATTCGATTTTGAGGAAATTGCCAACGCGGCTCATTTAGTAAGTTAATTGTTGGTATATTGACTTGAAATTATTTCTTCATCGATTTGTTTTCAATCTGAGGTCACATGAATCTGGTGCCAATGATTACTGTGTATAAGGAATTCAATATGTGGTGCATGTTGTTAGTACGGTCTACTCAGCCTATTTTTTGCCGCTGATAACCATAGATCAATTAGTTCCTTCTTTTCCATGTTTATATTATCAGAAAAAGTTCATTCTTTTCGAACATGCTCTGGGATACGCCCTACTACGTGTTAAAGCAGCTGATGTCGAATCGATAGTGGAGCTGGCTAAGGAGTTACTGGATGACGACGAAACATTTTGCAAGTCCTTTAAATTGCACGCCTTCTCCCCATTCTCGTCATC